ATGAGGGAGTTAGAAAGAAGGGAAGGTGCTATTTTTCAAAGATAAGTAACCATATGCAATTCTGAACCTCAATTCACCTATGTGCTCAATAGGTTTCACATATAGGCATAGAATTCCTGGTAGATTTAAAGGATGAAACTAGTGAATTAGGAATGGGGGACTATGGAATGCAACTTTATGGATTACTAAAGTTATCCTGACACAATTCTAGCTAACTACAATGATACAGGGAAAAATGACCAATTTTACTAGTAGATAAGGAAATTATTTCTCAGTTAATAAATGGGAACAAAAAAAGCTCAATTATATAAAAGTAGATAGTTTGACAAACAGTAAGTTGCCAATGAGAGTGATTTATTAATACAATTTAATTTAAATTCCTGGCAAAGAATTTATTTCAATTCATAGTACAAGGAGCATGGGGGCACAGAGCTGGGGTTCAGTCCCTAGTACTCAAGAAAACAAACCAAAACCAATTTGCTGTACAATTTATGCCTTGTACTCTGACAAGCATTGAAGAATAGAGATGGGCCCTGACTTAGGATTTTTCAACTTTATGATTATGTATACTGTATACTGAAACCATACTTTTTTTTTCCTTTCTGCAAAGTCTCAAGCAGCCTAAATCTCCTGATCCTCCTGCTCCCACCTCCTAGGTGCTGGGATTACAGGCATGAACCATGATGCTTATCTCTTTTATAATATATATATATATATTTGGTCTTTTTGAGACAGGGTCTCTCTGTAGCCCCAGCTGGCCTGGAACACACTATGTAAACCAGATCAGCCTTGAACTCACAGAGATCCGCCTATCTCTGCCTCCTGAGTGCTGGGACTACAGGCCTGTGCTACCACACCCGCAGTTGTTTTATAATCTTATAAAATTAATTTGGTTGTTTCGCTCTCAATTATGAGATACAGAAAGTTATTTCCAAATATGATACATTGACTTCTTTTTAAATTTCATGGCTGCTAAATGAGAACACAGGAGACTGAGTATACAGGAATACAGGAATTTCTCACAGTTCCAGAAGATAGCAATCTAGGATGAAGGCGCCAGAAGATTCATGTCTGGTCCCGTGGCCTGTGATTTACTGTTGAGTCTTCCAGTGGTAGTAGGTGCAAAAAAGAAAATGGGGCATGTGTGAGGTGGAGTCTGCACTGTTTCTCTCTATGGAAATAATTTCACCCACGAAACAGAGTTCTCAGAGCCTAATTGCTTCCACAAAGCCCTGCTCCTTTGTACTATGATACTGCGGATTACAGGTCTGAAGAAATAGTGGAGGCCTGAGTGTTATAAACTGAAGGAGACTGTGAAGGTAGAATCTTCTGAAGTACGTCACAGAAACCACGATTCCTAACCCTTCTTCTCAGAAGCAGACCGGAAAGAAGCTTGAAGCTCACTCTCTGATATGTGACAAGAACTTTAGCATAGCATGCTAAGTCATCTCCTGCCCCTCTAATTCGTTACATTTGGATCACATGCTTTTGTTTTTAATCCCTACTTTGCATTGCTGTCTGTTAAAATAGTTTTCCCTTGATTTTGAAGGTTCCCACAGCATGTAGTACCTTCATTAAATTTCTAGCCTTTTCTTCTGTTAATGTGCTTTGTTATAGGAGTGTTAAACCATGCATCATGCAGTCAATGAGGAAAGAAATCTTTTCTGCCCTACACTATTTCACTGAATCAGAAAAAAGAAACAAAGTTTGGATAGAAAAAGACACAAAGGGTAAGGGGCTTCCTTATAAAGCTATTGGATTCAGGAGGCTAGAAATAGGGCAACTTCGTTTAGAGGAGAGCATTTTTCTTTTTTCTTTTTCTGGGAAAGGGTCTTGCAATGTAGCTCAGAGGAGAATCAAAATTATGTAATCCTGCATCTGTCCTACAAGCCCTGGGATGTCACACCTGTATGCATCCCCACATTGGCTAGAGGGTTATTCTATTTTTCTAGCCTTTCTAAAAGCATTTACTATAGAGAATTTCAATGATCACTTCAAAAATTGGCTACACTTTTCTTTTTCCATAGGCAAGCCCTAAAATGGTGATTCAACACTACTTAAACTCCTGGCAAGTATTATATGAAGAAATATTTCCTAATTATAAGCAAAGTTTACTGCTGCTTGACAATATTCTTTTGGGTGTGGAAAGTCAAAACGACTTGACTTGCTGAAAACAGTGTCTCTCGCTATAGTATTCTGTGATTCAATAACAGTGTTGAGTGCCTACATTGTGCTGGGCGCTGGATATTTGATAAATATGTGGCAGACAACAAATCACATATAATCTCTGCCAAAGGAACAGCAGTGTAGAGAGCATGTAAATACCCGACTGCCTGTGGATTAAGGTCATGTTTTCCATTATGTGCACTGCAGTAGCTTTAACGCCTGACAATATCTAGCATGTTGTATAATAATCATTCAGTTAATATTGTGAAAGAATAAAGGTAAACATGAGGTGCTGCTGGACAATGTGGGATTAAAGATTGAGCCTGCATATTCAGTAGCCTTAGTACTGCTGCTGTTGGTAGAGCCCATAGGCATGGGGGTACTATTTGGTTTTTGAACTGAAAGTCCCTACAGAGAGATTATGGTCAGATAAAGTTAACTTCAAGACAGTCTACTGCCATATTTGCATCATAGTTATTCAATTTAAAGGGTCAGTGACCTGAATCCAAACAATTTATTGGCAAGGGATGGAAACATTGGAATATCATCTACTATAAACAAACTTCTAACCCTATACTCGAAATGAAAACATTTTTTTCTCATTTTAAACCTGAATCCTGTGACTCAGCGTTTAGAAACATTTGCTGATCTTCTATAAGACCCGAGTTCTGTGCCTAGCATCCATGTTGGAAAGCTGAAAACAACGTATAGCACAGATGTAATACCCTCTTGTAGCCTCTGCAGGCACCCGAAAGCACACAGCATACACTCACACAGGCACACATACATACCTGTAAATAAGAATTAATCAGAAAAAAAATCACAGTCTTGTAAACTTTTTTCAATGGTGAAAATGGTAGAAAATTATCAAAAACATAGCATATAAATTATGGTTACGTATTTTGCTTGTCTCTTTCTGTAAGATTGAAAGTCTCAGAAAGCACCCACAGAAACTTCCAAAACAAGAATAATCTGAGCAACCATTTTATTACTATAATTCATTCAATTATAGTGTTTTTAAAGTTCTACATTTTTCTGTAAGAAATTGCCATATTTTTGCTTTTTGTCTTGATAAGAAATGCAAAGTAACAATCCCCTTGTGACCAAACAGTCACACTTTAGTGGTATTTAAATGAAGAACAGCTGTTCACCTGTAACATACAGATACAAAGGCTCAGGATTTCCATTTTAAAATGCTTAATTACCTGCATAAAGACAGAAATAAAATAAGGAATCCAGGCCAAGATCATGAGGGTTTAAAATTACTTTCTTTCCTTCTTTCTTTCTTTCTTTCTTTCTTTCTTTCTTTCTTTCTCTTTCTTTCTTTCTTTCTTTCTATTTCTTTCTTTTCCTCTCTCTCTCTTCTTTCTTTCTTTGTCTTTATTTTTTTCAAAATGAGCAACAAAAACTAAATGTTGCAAGCTGTTGTCTGGCTGTAAATCAACTATAAAATAAAATATTCAAAATAACAAGGGGATCAGGAGTTAAAATTTAAAATGTGAGTCAAAAACAAACCAAAAAAAAAGAAAAAAGAAAAAAAGGTGAACAAAGGTGCGGTTTCAATCAAAGGACAATTTGAAAAAAATATAACCAACCGTAAAGTAAATCCTCATGTTAAGTGTCTCACTGCAGCCAGTTATATAAGCCAAGGTTAGTTAAGGATTTCCTGTCTGCAATCTCTCATAAACTTATGCTTCCAATATTCCTATTTATGGATACAGAATCAATAAAGGACCACACCGTATTATTTTGTCAGGCAAAATACTGATAGTAAAAAAGAACTTTTTTTATGTAAGTGCAAATTGCCATTCTAAGTAATTTTCAGGTTCACAACCATAACTTCCAAGTTAGGTAAGAGAAACATAGGAAAGAAGAAAGTGCCACAAGTTTAACCTTGAAAGAAGGTGACTCCTATATAGTTGGTAAAGGAATTTACTTATTATCTGATAAAGAATTTGCAGTATTTATTCCCTCTAGAGATATAAAATGGTGAATCAATCTGCAGTTCAAGATATTTATTTTAAACCCAGAGGAGGAGGATATGGCTTTTACTTTTGAAATCCAGAGTAAAGAAAAAAAAATCAGTTCTAAATGTAGTTTATCTTCAGACACCAGCTTTAACATTAAACAATTCAAACCAAATGCTATTTCTCAAGTTCTCCTTTCATATATTTCTGTAATTTATCTGCATACTGTATGTAAAATAGGAGTTTCCTAAATGCTTATTTAGCAAGAAATCCTTAATGTTTTATACAGACATACATTAGTTTATTTAAATATAGCGCCTCCTAATCAATGCATTTCTCTTTTCATCCATGTCTTCTTTTATCTTCCACAATAATGTCATTGTACTGACATTAGTCATCCACTCCTTGCTCCCCAGAATGCTTACATACTCTCAGAAAATGCATGTGCATATGTGCAAAAAGAAAAAAAATTGAAGCAAACAAATAATAACAAAAATCATTTTCATAGGCTGATCATATTCTCTAAGCAGTTGGTTACATAAGAAGATTCCTTGTTTTGTTTTGTTGCAGGTAAAATCAAGCCTCCTAAGACTTACCTTGCATATCTTGTTGGCTTTCAAATGAAATTTGTCTTTGAGAAATGGCAATTTTTCTGATCTAATTGTTCCCTTGCTTACGCGACTTTTTTCAAAACATCATGAAATAAAATTTATGATACTAATATAAAAGCAGCATATACACAAATTCATCTAGACAGTATTATAGGCTAGGAAGTCTAGAACTAACCACATAGTAAATAGACAGGTAGAAGGGTAGACATACACAGAGACTAACACACAAAGAAATGCTTAAATAAATAAAGGATATCGTCATCTTTTCCACAAACTTATCATGCTGATTTTCTACTTGAGGGAAATTCTTGATGTCACGCTCCAGATGAAGAATGTTTTGTTCCATTGCTGCAAGGTTGCTCTTGAGAATTTGAGCTGAAACTAAAGAACAATGTGAAAAGCATTTAGAATATTTTACCAGGTATTCCACAAAATAACTAAAAACAGTATCAGCTGAAGCAATTTTTATTAAATGTAGAAAATGGTTCCATGAAATCATTTCACATTTTTTCTGAATTACTGCTCATAAAAATTCTACTCTCTATGAAGTAAATGAAAACGTGTAGTATAATATACCAAGTCATCATATTTAATATGGGAATGCCACCACTTAACTCAGCTATTAGCTAAGATGAACCCATTCTTATTTAAATTTATTGATAGATCTCTTAATATTTCATTCTTTAACATCTAATTTGAAGATTAAAGAGAAATGAAGGCTCAAAGAGACCTTATCTTATTAATGCCCTTGGTTCGATAAATGATTTAAGTTTAAATCTATAAAAGTAACATTTAAGTACCAAATGTTTGCTTTTGTTGAAAAACCCTATCTTTATAAACGAACACCTATGGTAAAAGTTCCCACCTTCAGTAGTAGAGAAGGGAAAAATAATTGTTGACAGAGTTTAGCCCAAACCCCCTCATAAAGGCATATGCACATACACACCCACCAAGCTTCAGCTTGCCCTCAAACACTATCATTAGCTGCTTTAATTACCCCTGACATTCTCTGCACTTTTCCTTTTCTCTCTTTGACAACTAATAATTTTAAGTGTTGTATTCAAACTGCTCCTAAATACATGTACACTTTCCAGATCTCTCATGATGCCTTCTTTACAGAGGTACTTAAAAAGGAAAAAAATAATCTTTTATAACTATTTTATAGTCTATTACAGCATGACTGCAATTATGCACAGACACTTCTGTCAATATCAACAGCATCTGACAAGATTCTAGTTGAAGAGACAAAGTAAGTGTTACAACTTGATAGGTAGCTTGTGACATTGGTTTTTCAATCCCCACCTCAGAAACATGGCTTTCATTAAAGACTGTGAGACATAAACAGAGAACTATTACGATTCTTTTTTAAAGTAAATTTTGTCTCTGAGACATATTAGCAACACAATGAAAAATTCAAGAGACTGACAAAAAATCAACCCTCTGGCAAATTTCAGCCAGATTATTCTGATCCAAATTCATCACCCAGACAAGCTTACCTTTATAATTCAACAAAGAGAAATCAGCTTAAAATATACATGGAAGTTCAAGAGAATGAAAATCAAACACTAACACTAAAGATTAGTTTTCTCTATTAATCTGTCAGTTTAAATAGCTCCATGCAATTTAGTTCTATTTGTTTAGATCTGACGAGTTTGTAAATTATTCTTTAATGGAGAAGTTGAAGAAAACTTGGTCTTGCCAAAACGTGCTAATGGTCTGGCAATCACTGCTTTCAAACGATGAGTCTACTGTGAAGGAAGCCATTCTGTCTCACACCTTCAAACTGAATTTCTGCACTTAAGTTCTTTCTCGGTAGTCTTCTTAACTCTTAAAAAGGTTTCTCTTTCCCCACCCTGTGTTTGGTCCACAAACTAAAGATTTAAAATTGACCAGTCATTTGAGTTACAAGGACACGAGGGAGTGCAAGACACAGTATTCTAAAGTATGGTAGACCAGAATAGTGGATAGCTTGAGTTGAAGGAATTGGAAAAGTGAGAAGTATAGAAAGGGCTCTATGATCGTCCCCTGAAACAGGTGATAAGTCCTCATGTGAGAAGTGCCCTCCTTGAAAGAAGAGGAAAGGATCATCCCAATCAATGAAGAGGAAGGCAAGGAGAAAGAATAGACCTCTCCACTCCCAATCTACTACTCTTGGCACTGACATTATCTTCTTTCACATATTCTCAGAATTCTACCTTTCTTCAACCAAATCTACTAAAAAAAAAAAAAAAGAAATTAAGGTTTAAGGTCTTAGTTTTCTCAAGAAAGCACTAGAATGTCATAGAAAATTTGAGTAAATTTGCATCCTTTTGCTAATCTGTGTTTTGCTACTGTAGCCCCAGACATTCTAAAATGAGTAGAAAGAAATTTTCCATTTTTTACTCTCTCTACAAAAGAAACAAAGTCATGTGAACGTTGTGCTATACATAAAATGGACATAGAGGCCATATTTAGATCAGAATGGTCATTCCCCTACTAAAAGCCATAGTAATGCCACTAATAAAAAAGGAGAGTATGAGAATAAGTTTATCTTCTAATTGTTAAATAGTGCAAGATGCTAAAGTCTATTTGCTTGGCACCATAAAGGTTTAGATAGCTGAAATAAGAGAGTACTTTTTAATCCAATGAAATTGCTTTTAAAACAAAGTTGAATTTTGAATAAGTCAGTCTTTTTGGAACTGTCCTCTCCAATTTTACATGTCAAATCCTTAGCTGTATATAAACTCTTCCAAATCTGTTCTTCAAGTTTTTCTAACATTTCAGAAGCAATCTTTCACATCACTTTTTACTTTGACCTCTATTTTTTTTATTTATACCATATACATAAACAGGGTCTCTCTTACACAGAATCTATAAATTGTTGAGATCTGCTGGGGTTCAGAACTAATACAGGGTGTGCCACTCTGAGCCCTTTGACTTCAGAAGACTGAAAGATCTCATAGCAAGGACTCTGTCAATTCCTGTTGTGACATCTCTAAGATGACCATTTTAGCTTTCCTCTTTCCAAGGGTGCTCACAGAAATTAGAACTCCTCTTCCCCAATGCAAGTCATATTGTCTAGTAAGGTCTTCTCTTTTCTCTTGAAGAATTTTATTTCAAAGCACACTGTGTGATACCTGGGAAGGAGGATTGCTGCACAGAGGCCAACCAGATTCTGCAAAAGTCTTGGAGAGTTGCTCCCTTCGGTCTATTAGCATCAGATTTTAATCAAGTCCAAATAATTCTGCATGCTATCTATTCTTCACCAAACCCAAGCCTATAGTGGATTTGAGGGTCTTTATATGTGAAGGTCCCCATGGCTTGTAAATGTATTAATTACATTAGTTATGCTTTCCCTTTGTTAAACTGACTTTTTTGTAGGAAGGGTGATCATGACTCCTATAATAGATAAGGGCTCTCATGGCATTGAGCTCCTATGCAGGATGGCAATGGCAATGGCAATGGTAACAGTAAGAAATAATTGCCTTTGTTTTTCCCATAGTACTTACCCCTGTGACTTATATATAATACTTAAGAAGTGTTTATGGAATAAATATGAACTTTAAGAAATACTGCTTCATATTTACGCTTATGCCCATTTTTGTAACGAAGATTGTACATCGAGGCTAGATACAATCATGAGGGAAAGGAAGTAATGAACACCTTTATTAGGTTCCTCTGTACTACTTTTCTTATGGATTATTAATATTGTGATGGAACAAAAGAACAAAATATTGTTACAGGGCTAGAGACATGGCTCAGTGGTTAAGAGCACTGGCTGCTTGTATTAGTCAGGGCTCTTTAAAGAAACAGAACTGGTAGAATGAATATATATATATATATGTATTTATCAGATTATCTCAGAGGATAGAGTCTGAGTGGCTACCCTACACTGGAGAGGCTGAGAATCTGGTAGTTGCTCTGTCCATGAGGCTGGATGTCTAAGTAGTCCCAATTTGGCACTGAAGGTCTGATGAATTCCAAAAGATCAGCTAGTCTTCAGTCTACAGTACCAAGATGACCTTACCAGTAAGAGAGAAGGCAAACAGCAAAAAGCAAGCATTCTCCTCTGCCATAGCCTTTTGTACGGGCTGCCATAAGAGGGTAACACCCACATTTAGAGTGTGTCTTCCGGCTTCAGATGATCCAATCAAGAAGATTTCCCTCATTTCAGTTAATTCTAGATCCAGTCAAGGTGACACCCAGGATTAGCCATCACAAGTCCACCCCTTGTCAACTGGACACCCAATAGCTTCTCTCTATGTCATGTTTAATTTTCAAATGAGAACAACAGTGAGGTCATAATTTCACCTAACATGATATGACTATTCCATCATACAATGACCAATGCATTATATATCTTAGAGTAGGTGATAAGGTCTTCGAGGAATGCTTAGTCCTTTAGTATCTCATAACCTAATATGATCATATAGGTTCACAACACTTAACCATTTAACACCTTGCTTACACATTCAAAAAAGAACAGCACAAGTTTCTACTTAATACATGTGTATATATGCGTAAGCTTATTTTTAACCAAATAGGACAAAAACACTCATGTCAATTATAATCCACATCTCTGCAACTGGTCACATGGTCTAAGTTGATCTGTATAGCTACCTTCCTCTACTACTCATTCTGTATTTCCTCCACCATCAGGAAGCACCTCAGAAAGTTTTGGCTCTTTCCCTGGAAGAGAGACCCATACTTTCATCCCTGAAGGGTCTGGGCCATTTGTTGTCCTGTCTGGATTGGGTTGCAGTTTCCCATTGACCTTAATCACAGGACATGGTAACACCAAAAGTCTCTCTAAGGAATCTCCTGCCTTTCAGATATAATATTCATTACCTCCATTGTGGTGAATCAGTCCAATTTTCCCCTGGTAGTCTAGGTCAATCACCCGTCCTAATACTGTTATTCCCTTCTTAGCCAGTTGACTTAAGGGCACCAGAAACCCAAACTGGCCAGGAGGAAGTATTAGCTTCCAGGTCAAAGGAATGTTTGTTGTGTCTTGTGGCAGAAGCACTCCCTTCTCTGGAACCAAAACTTCTAGACCAGCAGAGTGCAAAGTCGAGGGTACAGGTAGCAAAATTTTTCCTAGTGGGTCACTAGGGGTGATAGTGCTCCACACCACAGGACCATGAATCTTGGCTGTAGGAGAAAGAGTACCATATATTGGATGCTGATTCAAAGTATATACTGCCTTCTGGAGGACCTTGCTCCAGCCCTCCAGGCTATTGCCACATAACTGGTGCTGTAACTGTTTCTTTAAGAGGCCATTCCATCACTCTATCAAGCCAGCATGATGGGGAACATGGTAAGACCAGTGGATGCTATGACCATGGGCCCACTGTCACATTTCTTTGGCTGTGAAGTGAGTTCCCTGCTCAGAAGTGATGCTG